TTCAACTTACCCTCAATATCTTTTGTTATCTTGCTTGCTAACAACATCATCAGAGCCATGAATGAAGCAGGCTGCTTCTTATCATATGAGATGAAACGGAACCGAAAGTGTCTGCAACTGCAAGACAGTAAAATGTTGATCACTTTAAAGTAACGTCAGACAGTTTTTTCTACCAAACTAAAGGGTGGAAAAGTAGCCTCGGTAATGACTGAAAGGTCTTTTCTAATAAATTTTTTTTTTTTTTTTTGAGACTTCATACTTTTATCCATAAATACTTTTTTTTCCTGCAGTAGCCTGATTGGTCAGAGGTCGGGGTGTTGACAGGCTGTGATCTGATACTCTGAACAGCTAACCTGCTCTGGAGTTGGTTAGCTGTTCAGCATAAGTTACCACAGTGATTTATCCTGGTAAAAAGAGAAGTCTGTGGACTATTGTGTGTGATCTGGTCATGATTTCTGTGCTATCTAGCTCCATTATATTGGAGAGAAGGCAGACATCTCTATGGCCGATATCTCCAACACTCAGCAACTCACACCAACAATTTTGGGGTGAACTGTCCCTTTGACATACTTAACTATGTTCACTGTGTGACATTATGTATTACATTACATACATACAATATACAGTGCAGCACAGACCATGTGTGTTTTATATATTCTTATAGTAAATGTCCCTCACATGTTATCTGTCAAATTAGGTCATTGAGTTCAAATCTAATTGAGAAGTATCAAATATTCATTGTCACCCAGCCACAACAAGCTTCTGTTTTTTTCCTCCATGAAAAATAAATAACTGATGGAGTGTGAGTGACACTACTTCAGGCAGGCTGTCAGACAAACAGTGTCTCGACTGTCTGTGTTTTTGTCTGGGACACTGGGAGGGTTGAATGGCTGCAACAGTCCGCTCTTAACATCCGTCTTTTTTCCTGTTTTTGCTTCATTTGTTTCTTTCATAAATTCTGTATTATCCATCTGGATCTAAACACAAGTGGGAATAATTAGATAAGGCATGCATTCTTCTCTACGTTAAAGCTAATTATGTGCAACCAGAACATCTGACTTCATTCTGCTGAGTTTCCTAAACTGATTTGCTGTTATGTATTGATTTTCATTTGCAGAATAAGTTCTTCTAAATCTATTCTTGCCTCTCCTGTTCTCTCTTTTTCCATTTGTCCCTGTCTGACTGCACACTGCTTCCCTATTCTGGTGTGTAGACTGCTAATGGAAGTATCGGAGGGAGCAGCTCCAGCACAGTACTGGCCTCTGCAAGCACTTCTGCTGCTGGACAAAACTCTTCCCCTGTACAGGACTTGGCCTCATTTGCCGCAAAACCAAGCAGAAAACTGGAAGACAGCCACCTGCTTACTTCCCAAACTCATTCACGTCATCCTCCCCCAATCCCCTCTGTCCCCTTAAAGAGGAAGTGGGATCAGTGCCAATATGCTGACCCTCCTTCTAAAATCTACCTAACCAGGTGTCCTCCGAAATGGAAGCCACCTTGTTCCTCTCAAGAAAAGGCAGGGGAAGAAACCAAAGAGCTAAGGAGAGCCAAGACCTTTAGCCTTGAAAACCCAGCTGAACCCCTGGAACCACAGACCAAATCCAGTCCTTCACTTAAAACAGGAGTATTGTACAGGATACATAAAGACGCACGTGCCCCACAGCAAATTTGGCACAGTAAGTTGGAGAGGAAGTGCTCTGAATCAGCTAGGAATGCTTCCAAAGAGACTCTATCCTCTGTGACCTGCACACCCCTCGAACACAAGCGTGCCAAACGTGGGCCTAACCAGGATACAAATGGGCCAAAGATATCCAGTGAGGACGCTAATGGTAATGAGCTCCAGAACCAATCCAAAGCTGGTTGTTTGACTGCAGCCCTGACGTCTGACCCCAGAGTAAAGGATTCTGGGAAGATGAACCCAGATGAGAAGATGCAAATGCTTGAGAACGTGGGGAAGACCAAGGTGCTGGTTTTAACATTGGTGTACCGAGATGGGACAACTCAGTTAGACCCAGAACAGGTGAGCAGAGATGTGGTTTGTTTTGTGGCAGATGAAATTTGCAAACTACAATGAGCAAGGTTATATTCAACAACTTTAAATTATTGTTTCACTTTCTCTTTACTAAAGGAAAAAAAGACCATAGCTTCGCCTTGTGCAGTATCTGTCCCAGTTGTTACAGGATTAGTGTAAACCGTTTGCTCTTGTGGTTTACTGCTTCATTAACTGTTAGCTCGTGTTAATTTGCCTCTCTGATCCTTGATAAAGAAGCTCACTCCAGCAGTGTGTGGCCTCCTCGTACTGATGAAGAACAACCTCGACCACAGCACACCAGAGGACTCGCTCAGGCCACACGACAGTCTGGTCTACTTAAAACTGGAGCACACACCTGCATGGGCCCAGCAACACACACACCAGAGCCAGGAGCCCTTTACTAGGTCTTTGTGTGTGTGTGTGTGTGTGTGTGTGTATATGCGTGTGTGTGTAAGTTGTATGAAATTGATGTGAGAGTGAGTATGATGATGAGTGTGAATTTGAAGTAAGCTCACAGTACATCCATTTGTGCTTTTGCATCCATAAAAAAAGACGATGTATGTTAGTGTTTGATTAGTCCAGGATGGGAGAACATGAATGTGTGTTTGTATTCCTTAGAGATATGCTGCTACAGGTGCTCTCAAGGTCTCAACTGGTGGTGTGCTACAAAGCCAAGGATTTGCTTCGTACAGCTCTGCAGTTTTTCAGACGAGACCTCAGCTGGAAACAAGGCAGAGCACACACACGTACTCGCACATTCACACGTACTGTAGAAAGTGCTGTTTAGTTCTACTTCAAATCATTCCTTTGTAAATTCACCATTAGCATTTATCAGCGACTTAAGTCACATCCTTTGCTTAAGTAATACTCCACCAAAAGTATATCTTTCAGTATCAAAAACAAAATGAGCCACAACATCCAAGGCACAGACAGTTGGTGTGAAAATACAACAATTCAACAAAACAAAAGCACAGTACAGAGGAAGGTTTCATCCTCCACAAACAGCAACTGCAGAAAGCTAGAATTATGCTAATTACAATGATTTCAGTGATGACAAGTTTTTCCTATGGAAAACAAATAGCAAAACATAAACCACTCCTGCAGCACACAGCAGCAATGCAAATATGCACACAGTTCTCTGTTTTATAGATGTGCTCTAATCTCCAAAAATGTGTAGCCAGCCAGTCTCTCATCAGTAAACAGCACAGCATATTGAATACTGCTCAGTATCATAAAGAGCTGTCCTGTCTCTTCAGTGGCAGGCTGTCATATCCAGGACCCACAGGTGGCAGGGTGGCTACTGGATCCTGCAAATCCCTCCTCCTGCTACCAGGACCTTCTCAATAAACACTGCAAAAGACCCCATGCAACACCCACCCTGGGTACCAAGAAGGTGAGTTAAGATGTGAAATTCTTGCCAAAGTCCAGACCTTTGAATTCGGCCACTTCACCGAGTCGAGTGAGTAGGGTTGGGAATCTCTCGATCTCTCGATCTCGACGATTCGATACATATCTAGATACACGGGTTACGATACGATTCAAAAACGATGTATTTTTAATACAGAACAATTTGATACGATTCGATACAGTGTAGGAACGATACGATTCGATACGATTCTATGGTTAACATTTGTTGATGTAGACATTAATCATTCATTATAAAATAAAGAAGCCAATTCTATAAAAGTGACATTCTTACAGTATTTTCAAATTTGTAAAAGACCACATCCCCAAGCATTGTTGCTGTATGGCACTGGCAAAAATAAAATAAAAAGTCAAACAGCAACAAAATCACATGTCAAACGTATTTATTTTTAGACATGGACCAAAAAAAGACTTGCTGAATGAACATCATTTTGTTGGATGGGATCAATATAAAAATGAGAAGAAGTTTAAAATTTAAGTGAAGCGAACTTTAAGTAAAATTTAAGTGTTTTAAACCTACTTGTTGTGTTGTTTTTAATGTATTGTCTGTGTTTTTGTATGTATCTTATATGGACTTGAGTCTGGAATAAAGTTTATCATAACGCTGTACAATATAAACATAAAGCAGAATAAAATAATAACATGCAATGTAGGGGCAGAATCTGACATCTCCTGTTATTAGTTGATATCATGGACTGTGATGACTAGCAGCTTATCACTGACAGCATGTCAGACTATTTCTCTGTGTTTGCTACACTCTGTTTGTCATTTATAAAAAGATAAATCACTTTTCTATAATACATCAATGATATTTCAGTGGAATAAATTACTTATTGACTTATTCATACTTCAAAAACAGCATCAATAAGTGATTAACATAGGGGGGATCAAAATAAAATAAATAAATAAAATAAAAATCAACCAGCCACCCTCCTCCCCTGACAAGTAAAGAACAGTCCCTAAAGTGCGGTGAGGTTTGTGGAAATGTGAACTGCTAGTTTCTCCTCTGACACATCACATACCTGTGTGCTGCCAGGGCTCGCCTAGTATTTCTGGGCTGTCATGACACCGACGAAGACTTCGGGACCTGGAGCCGAGCTTGTCGGTTGCCGGTAAGCCGTTATCATGCGCCGCTGTATTTGACAGGAATATATATTTCTGTCTGTGTCTGTGACCCCGCGTTCAACCCACAACCGGCAGGATTCGCCTTTAGTTTCTGCTGCGGCTTGGCTGCTCCCTGGTTTATCCAACCAGCATTAGCTTCTGTTCCTCATCTCCACCGGTCAAGCTGGCGCTGATGTTTATATCCATTATCGTTGTCAGTAATGCCTGCTACGAGCATGCTGCCGGCTCTCGCGTTGTTTTCGAGATGCAAACTGTTAAAGTCAGTCAACCGATTGCTAGTCTCGCGATACCCGAATCCATGATTCTACAATCGATTCATTTAAGGATTCATGGCTGATTCGTATCGATTGAGGAGGCTGCTACCGATGTAGCCGTATCTCTCGCTTGTCAAACCGGATATCCGGTCGTATCGGTTAATCGTTCCCAACCCTACGAGTGAGGCGTAGTCTACATGGACACGAGAATGAGAGAGACCTGGATCAGTGGCCTCTGTATTGCAGCCTGACACCTACTGTATGTTGCTCGGTATAGTGGAAGAGTGACCGTACATTTATGCGTAAACATGTAAAAAGTCATGTTAGCAACTTTAGAACCAGCACTGTTTTGCTCATGTCATTGCATGAAATGCCACCTCATTTGTAACGGCTCACAAAGGAGATAACGGCACACACTCACACTGACACATTGCATTAATGACTGGCACATTACTGTGACTAAATATCTGCCTGTCTTGTATTAACATCTGTCAGTACTTGCTAGATGACCTGCCTGTGTATTTTTTTTGTCTCCCTTTGTTTCTGATTTTCTTGTTAAAAATGTAATAAAGAAATTTAATGATTATAAAGAACTCCCATTCCCTGGTGCCTCCTTCACTCAACACAAGGAAGAAGTAATTCCCCCACATCATCCTCCAGAAACTAAGCTGTGTATGTTCCTCCACACCCTCTCTCTTTCTCTCTGTTTCACTCTCTCAGGTTTCTCAGGTCATCTCAGGTCTCTGTTCACTCTACTGGCTCAACATGGAGCTGTGCTTTAAACTACAGGTTAGTTGATGTACACACACAAACACACACCTGCACATAGAGGCCAGACACATCACCTGACTGCCTATTTGTGTATCTAGAGCCAAGGTCTGTGGGAGCTGTACGCAGATATGGAGCTGAAAATGATCTCTGTTCTGGCAGGTGGGAACCACTTTGCTCTTTTTAGTAAACACTGAGTATTCTGAAATAATATAAACTGGTTTCTTATATATTTTATATTTTATATGTCATATTTGATGCTGCAGTTATGGGTGGTATTTGGTTCTTACTTTGATTTTGTTTAGGCTGTGACTGAAGCCCTATTCCTACAGTATCACTTGGGGACTTCAAGTAATTTCCCATTTATTGTGGAAGTCATCTGTGATCTTAATCCCATGCAAATTTGCCATGTCCGTAATTTGTCAAGTAAAAATTCCATCGCATATTAACGACCCTATTTCACCAAACACATTGGTCATGCGATAGTATTAGTTCTGTGCAAACTGGCATCTCAGTGATTTGGGGTTGTATTTAGGAATTTAGTTTTCTTAGTGCCCCTTTTTCTGCCTCTGTCAAGGTCAAGAGTTCTGGAGGCTGCATAGGCAATTATGTATGAAATTTTTAACAAAATCTTGGGTGTAGGAGGCTCAGTAAATATTTATGTTGTTTCAGCCATGGAGAGCCATCGCATCCATGTGGACAAAGAAGCTTTTAGGAGAACTTCAGACCTGCTCGGGGTAAGGCAGAACATCAGGGCACAGACACAAACTTCTGTGGTGCATTGATTGCTGTGGTTGGTGTATTTTTTACTGTTTGCCTAAAGGTGTTATTAACAAATAGAGCAGAACAGTTTAAATGAAAGACAAGACTGTTTCATTTGGCTGCAGGCAGAGTGGACAAACTTATCTCTCACAGCCAGGAGTTGTCAACATTTTCCTTGTGGCTGATGTTAATTTCCTGACAGAAGTTCTGCTCAGTGTGTTTAAAGATAGGTATTTTAAGTAATTCAGTTTACCTCTGTTTCACTGCCGTGTTGTAAGTGAAATGCTGCAGCTGCAGAGGACTGAACGAGGTGGAAACAAACTTGTTCCAATTCATGTTTATGGTGATGGGGATTTTGAGAAAACTGTGTCAGTGTTAAAACTTGTATTCATGCCAGTATCCTGTGCATATTAATTTCTTCCTTTTTTTTAAGAAAAATCTGTGTGCATTAACTGATCATGTGAGCATGTGTTCTCAGGGCTCAACTGTAACGCTTGCCAGGTTGCCATTGGTAATTATTTTGAGAAACTGGCACCCAATTCTTAGACAGCACTGCATGTGCGTTAACTCGCATGTGCACAGGCATCAGTCTTAGAGTCAATAGTGAAGCAAATGAAGTTGTACTTAAGATTTAAATTCTGTAAAGTATCAGATGAACAAAACTACAAGTAATTTTGCACAGTTACTGTAAAAAAGCTTTTAAAAGTTATTTTATGTCACATTTTTATCATTAAGCTGACATATAATTGCATAGTATCTTTTGCTGATTTTCAGCTAGCTTTGTATCATAATAATGTGGGTAGTATGTGTAAATGTAAATAACTTCAAAACAAGGCGATGCTGATCAAATATAAGCCAAGATTCTGTTACTGCATTGCCTATTTCTCACTTACAATGACTTCAGAAACATATTTTAATGCAGTAGACTTTGTGAAGAGGAATAGGGCGCCATATTGTTTCCTGTATTGTAAAAATAAAGGCTGAAATAACTTAGATCAAACGGTAAAACTAAGCAGCGCTGATCAGGTTCTGTCACTCTGTTGCCTGTTTCTCACCTCAAATGTTTTAGAAACATATTGTAGCTGTTTAACTGTAATTTGAGATGTTTTTTTACCAGCTGGCCCCCATATTATTTCCTAAGTCAAAATGACCAAGCTTGCATTACGTCATCCACCAGCAGCATATATTGGTCCAGTGCGGTGCAGTGCATTCTGGTAGTTGTAGGTTTTCAACCTCTTGAACAAAAGCAAATGACACACCCCTTTTTTTCTGTTTTCTCTGGTCATATAACATCAGTTTCATTTCTGTCTTACCGCATAGACAGCCCACTTTTACTCAAAATGGTGACCATGTTATCAGTTTCGACAACCAAAAGCTGATGCCTGGTTACCAGCCTGACAACCACTTTTAAAAGTTAGTGTTGAGCCCTGGATCTGGAGACGATCAGAAATTTACAAAGAAAGCACATATTAGGGTTTCTGTCAGTTTCTCTACATGCGTATGTAATGTATTTTAAGAAAATGTATGAGTCATTACACAGTTGGATATTATTAAACATTCTTTATATCCTCAGCTGACAGTCATATAGGCATAGGTATTTAGCCAATTGGGCACTGAAGCCTTGAAGCCAGTTATGAAATGAGAATCTTTACATTAATCCTTGTATTGAGAGGAAAATGTGTTGGAGTCTTATGTAACAGCTTCAATGTGTTTATATCAAACAAACATAATGGAAACGCTCCCTTTAAATTTTAGTTTTTGCCAGCCTAGGTGTAGGTATGATGTTCAGGGTCAGCTCAGATTTGTACCGCATCACTCTTAGCTGATTGCATTTAAGACCGGCTGCTGAACCACAGTGCAGTCGACAGCTGCTGTATTAATACAAATGGGAGCAAAACAGTGGGAGGATATGAGGAACAGGAGAGATCTCTGAAAAAATAGAAAAAAGAAACCCTCAACAGCCCGAGACGGAAAGAAAAATATAATTTCTCCTTTTCTTCTTCTGGGTAGGATTAGTGATGTGGTGGGTGGACATCCTCCGGGGACCTGTCCTGTTTACATGCAGATAAAAACCAATTCTGGAGACTTCATTTGAGAGCGATCATAAACACACAAAGACAAACATACAGACACTGTGGACACATGCATGCTCAGGAAAACACACGTTCCTAATCAGTCGCATAGAGACGACACTCGTAAACTCAATTACAACTTCTTGCAGGCGCCAGCAGGGGTGTTGTTGTGGAGGGAGTCTTTTGGTGTCTTGCCGTGATGCTATAAATAGAATGGAGGGTCTGTCTTTTTCCTTCAGGAGGCTGTGCTGCAGGAAGGAGCATCACTGTCTGCCTCTGCCAACACACACTGAGGCACTGAAGTTTTTTGCAGACTGCTGTAGAGTTATGTGTGTGTGCGTTTGTGTTTTTGTTATATGTGCTTGCCAGTGCACTCACACATGTCCCCACTCTGTCGCGTTGGATTTCTTTTTATCTGAGCTGTCAAGTTCACCTGTCTGAAACACCAAACAGAGGATCCCTCCTGTCTGTCAGCCTGCATCTCACAAACTTGCTCACATGCTCTTTTGTCTTTTCAGTCAGCGATATTGAAATTCAGCAGGACAAACATCACTTAATAAGGCTCTTTCTCATTCTGTCTGTGTTTTTCAGACATCACCATTCAGATCAGATCCCTCTGTAAACAACTATCACGTCAGGCTCAAACTGAAGAGTCCACATTTTGATGCAATGATTACTCCAAAGACACTGCCCTACAATATTAGATCCCTGCCATACCAGCTCTGTATGTGTGTGTTGGTGTGTCAGACACAGTACTAAGGGGCTAGCATCCATTATAGATGAGGCAGTCTGGAGCCTGCTCCGGGCGAAGAGCGAGACAGAGGAAGAAAAGTACATATTTTGGAATTTTGGTACATTTCTGCCAGCTCCTCCACTTTCCCCCTCTGTCTCTGCCTCTGTGTATCTGTGCCATCTCTCTCCACCCTCCTCTCCGCTATTGCTCTTTCTGCCATTGTTGCTTCTCCCGCCTCTGCCCACCATGCTGTCAAGTTCTGTCTAACAGTCTCACTCCTCTGACTGATGTCTGTTTATTCCAAATGCCATTTCCTATCAAGGTCCAGCCACAGCACGCCCTGCTGCTGCCTAGTCCTCACCTGCTTCTGCCATCCTTTGATCATCTTCTCATGGTTTTTCCTCTCTTCCTTTTCACAATGAAGTCCTGGAAAACTTAGAAGAACTGTTTTCCAGGCCTGGAAATAGCTTGGAATCAATCAACTGTTTTGGAAAACTTTTGAATATACTATATGATTAGCATTTTGGCTTTTGTTTAAAATGTGTTCATAACAATACCAAAATATTTTTAACATTATGCGAAGTATGTTGGTGTGGTAAATTGCAAAGTAAGACTGGTGGCAGTTTTCTACTGGTGGTTAGCTACTACCGAATGGTGGTCAACCTCATCTTTTTATGGTATTGCAAAGGCTTAGGGCCGTTTCATAGTCGATGCACGCAACGCAAGCAAGCGACGTGAGCAACGCACTTCCTTTCATAGTCAACACACTGAATGCAAGCGACGCGGGCGACACTTGAAATGCAATACATCGCTCGCGCAATAGGGGGTAGCAGAGTCACCGGTACATTCCGGCTAGCTAGTACTGCTATTTTATTAGAGTGCAGGGCACTAGAACTGTCATATAAATGGGGGTGTACCCATACGAGTTCGCAAAGTTTTTCCTCTTCGCCTGCTATATTTCATACCTGCTTCTTCTGTGAATAACAAAAAGTGGTTAATTTCAAGTACGTGGCTTGCATCACCTCTGCTGGCAACGCATGGTATTACACTGCATCGCGTGTCAAAAAAATGGATAACGCATTTTGAGACGCAAGCATGGGCCAATGGTGGCCAATGCGTCCCATTGCGTTCGCATCTGCGTGCCTTTGCGTTGACTATGAAACGGCCCTTAGGTTCAGTCAAGGACGCAAAACAATGATCAGGCATGTCCGTATATCAAATGCTTGTTTAACAAGAAATAAATGCGTATGAACTTGTCAGAATTATAATCCAAACACATCTGATTGTATTGACGTTTCTATGATCTTAAGTTCGGTCTTGACGTTTTGTGAAATACTGTATTTGCTGATCTGGTCTATTGGCATATGCAGTTAAGTGGTGGCAGAAATGTCTAACGAATAAGTAAAGTTAGCAAGCGCTAGCAGTTTGCTTTTTGGCAATTGCCTGGGAAGTGCGTTTTTTAAATTATATATGGGTGTACCACTATATATGCCTATCTCTTTTACACTGCCTAAATAAAGTCATAAATCGGGTAAAATGGTATGGAAAACATATGGATACGTTTGAAAATTCAGTGATAAAAATGTGTAGGCGCCGTGGTATTTGCATCACATTTCAACTCTTGTTTTGAATTTTCCCCATCCCTCCCACATTCCTACATCTGTCACTCTTATCTCCGTCTGTTGTCTGTCATTTCATCGCATCACCTCGCCCTCTCCCCTCCCTTTAGCTTTTTCCTATTCTTGTCCCTGTTTCTCTTCCCTCGTTTTCTTGTCCGCCTGTCAAGTTGATAAGAAATGCTTTATGCTTCAGTCACACTTGTAATGAGCCGCTGATGTGTGGGTGTCACTAAACAAAAATGTTCATGTTTAGGCTGATTATTGTACGAGCGGGAATTCTTCCAACTGTCTGCCCTCTGCCTCACACTCTTTTTCCTCATTTACTTTTCATCATTATCTCTGCCTCTCTGGGACTCAGCCTCTCGGTCTTCCTCTTTCATCCTCGTATGTCTTTATCAAGTGTATCTACCTTTCACTCTCTTCTGTCAGTCTCTTTTACATCCCTCTCTTCTATCCCAAGAGCCTCTTTTTTTGCTGTCTTTTTCTAATCCTCTGTTGTAGCCATAGTCATTTTCTCTCCCTCCCTTCTTTTCCTTTGATCTTGATTTCTCTCTCCCTGTCCCGCCGCCTACCATTTTGTGTCCCCTCGCTTCCTCTCTCTTGCTGAGTTTATCATGCTGCCCATGTCGACCATCCTGAGAGACAAAGTTCATTCCATATTTGACTGGATTATCACAGCAGTCAATAAATAAACCCTGTCTGGCTCTGTGTGTGTGACTAAGAATGTGTGAGACAAAGTGTGTGTGTATCTGTATGTTGCGATATACATATATGGATTTTTCATAATTTGTGTGTGTTTTTGAGAGTGTGAAAGTTCTATGCTGTTTGTGGTTAGTTTTTTCTGTGTGTGATCCTAATGCGCTCGCCATGTGACTGATGTGTGCATTAGACAGATTAAGAGAGTGCTTTGCCTTTGGCCGTTGAAAGGAAGGAGAAACGAGACTAAGTTCTGTCTTTCGCACATTAACACTTCTCTCCTCAAATAACCTCCCGTCTTCACAGCGGGGTTCATACACAGGCCTGCAAAATGTAGGTTGATAATTTACTTATCTTGAAAAGTTTTTGGCAAGCTAACAGTCACAGGGCTAGTGAAATGAGTCATGCCATCATATTGGCATAAACACCGCTGCTGTCACCGCTGTGTCACATTTTAATTGACTTTATATTCGCTGACTGATAGACCAGCACATCTGAAGCAAGTCTGACATAAATATGAAATATCGTAATGGAATGAAATGTTTCTCACTCTTGATAAATGGCGCCCGGCATGAAAGGTAAATCACTGTGGAATACTTTTGACATGATTTAAAAAGTTGAGATGTGAAAAACAGGGCAGTAATTATTTTTTATAAATGAAACTATGTAGCACTGGGCAGTATATAGATAATATATTGATGTCGGATGAGAGGAGAGAGGGCAGCTCGATTACATCCTGCTGTACATGTTGAAACTTTGATGATATGTTGAAGTTTGTTTTACCAGTTTTTTAGCCATGTGATAAATTGTGAAGTTAATGTGTAGTCATCGATCCCCAAAGAGATAAAAATAAAATGGCTATTGCTGTACAGATGAGGACTAATGCTAGCTAACATTAGCGAGCTTGGTTGTTACACATTATGGCAAAGTAGACAACAAATAAGTCCACACACCAAGCAGCTCCCGTATAGAAGGATTTTTTTCGAGCCCTCAAAACGTCACTCTGCATTAAAACCCTTCTAAACGGGAGCAGCTTGGTGTGCAGACTTATTTGTTTGCTGCTTTGCCAGGCGTTTCTTTGGTCCAGCACCCACTCCACTTGACGATGGGATGTGCGTCTTTTGTACTGTTTTTGTCGTCACACATTACACCCACAAGTTATTGTTTAAACATATTTTTAGGGTTTTTTGCCTTTAATTGATGGAACAGTATTAAGGTGAAAGGGGGAGGGGATGACATGCATCAAAAGGCCAAGAGTTGGACTCAAACCCTCGGCCGCTGCAGCAAGGACAACGCCTTTGTACATGGGATGCCTGCTCCACCGATAGAGTGGTGTCCAAAAGTGTTTTATCATGTTCCAGATAGTCCTCGACATACAACCCCCTACATAGTGACTAGGGAGAAGTGAATGATTAAATGAGTTTGGATACAGCCATTGTTTTAGATTTTAGATAAGCTCTAAGTGTTTTCTTATCTTGGTTTTAAAGGCTGAATTTCAGTATAGTGATTTAATTTTGTGATCTTACCAGAGTGTTAGAGGTGTTCTATTATTTGCCTTTACCTACTTAAAGGGCAACACTGCCTAAATTCAGAACTCCAATATGTGATTTCCATGGCTTAGGAAAGGTCACTCAATATTTGTGAACATTGGCTACTCTCTCTCAAAGCCAGCAACCAGAGATATAAGTCTCAGACTTGTGATGTCATCAAGTATAAAGTCTGGAGCTACTCCACAGACAATGAATGAGAGCCTGATTTTATGAACCCACAGAACGTTTGTTTTCTTTTGAGCTTTATTCTAATGTAATGTTCTCAATTCTGAAACAGAAAATGTACCTTTATACTCAGAACATTCCCTTGCATGCTCTCAGTGTCATCTATAACATCGTTTCCAATTCACTGTCTATGGAGCAGCTCCGGATTTTATACCCTATGACATCAAAAAATTTAAGTTTTAGCATGGAGAGTTCATCTTTAAGAATGTTTTTTTTTGGTTCAGTAACTAAAGGATATTTACTGTTTGACCTTTGAATAGTAAATAAATACTGGTACCTTGACTAAAACAAAGCCTGAGAAATATTTGCAAATGACTCAAAGTCTTACCTTGATCCTCTTTCAACTCTGCCTCTCTGTCAGACGAAGATGAAGCAGTTGGAGCAGGAGGCCCACCAAGCAGCAGGACAGATATTCCTGGTCACCAGCAACTCTCAACTTCGAACAGTGTGTACCTTCATGTGTACATCTGTGTGCAGTGTTAGGAAGATTACTTTTGATGTGTAATAAGTTACGGATTACAAGTTACCTTGTTAAAAATGTAATACGTAATGTAACTATTTCAAGTACGTTATCAAAGTAATGTAACTACTTACATTTGATTACTTTTCATTTACTTTTCTATGAATGGAGATGGCACATAAATATGCAGCCTAATGCTCTGAATAAATTCGGAGTGGTGACATCAGCTGACCTGTAGGTGTTCCTTAAGTTGCTTGTAACCAAGCTTCACACTGTACAGTGATGTCAGAGCCCTTCTCTGATTTCAGAAGGAAAATACTGTTGGATTTCCAGCACCGAAAGGCGTTCTTGTCCGACGACATGACCCACCTTAGCCTGGTTGGCTGATCGCAGGCAGTGCAGACTCTGGTTGCTTAGAGCAGTGTGCATTGATTTGATTGGCAGATTAGAGGCACTGAAAATTCAAAGAGGACCTTTCAATCTTTCTATACGGTGCTTGTGTGTATGTGTGTATATGTATGCACAGTGTGTATGCAGACATGCTCCTATGTGTGTATTTCTCTGTGTTGTGTGTATATTTCAATGTCATGGATTGTGTATGATGTGGATTTCCAATGTTTAAAGGTCCTGTTTGAGAAGCTTTGCCTCCATGAGCGCTGCGAGAACAAGAAACTTCCTAAGACCATCAACAAACAGCAGCAGTCAACATCGGAAGCTGCAGTACGGCGCCACACAGACTCCTAAACCCAAACACACACACAGATATGTCAATTTGATCCCTTAATCAAAGAAAACTTGATGAAACTTATTCAAAGTTTCAGTGTGTGCACCGACACAGATAAACCCAGTATTAGTATTGGCGTAACAGTTGCCAAGTACAGTAAGTACATAGAAATCAAGCCAACTTATTCTGTAGATGCAGTTTAAATTGAACATTCTGAAAGGATGGCAACACTTCAGATACCTTGAAAAGAGACAAAAAAATGCAGCTACAGTATTGTGTTAGATGTTTGCCAACAGTTTGTTCTCCTTTCACTCCTCCCTTGTTTTGTTGCAGTTGCTGCAGCTCCAGGACCTGCACCCGCTGCCAAAGATCATTCTCGAGTACAGACAGGTCAGTCGTGTTTTCATCTGCTTTTTATTCATCTGCCACAGCTGTCAAAAACATTGTTAGCAAAGGCTTTGGTTTTATTATTAATGTCTAAAGCAGAGGGTCTCTTGACACTGAAGTCAAATGTTGAAGTTGGAGCTAGACTGCCAGTGAACTAAAAAAGTCTTAAAATGTCTTTTATACGTCTACCAGAATATGGAGTTAAAAGTATTAAATTGTCTTAGATTCAGTTTGGATGGGTCTTAAATGTTTTTTTAGTCATGTCACTGTGAGAATTTCTGGTGTTGGTGTGACGGGAAAAATCATTTCAACAGAAGGAAAACACTATTTGACTGGGTAACACACACACACACACAGCACCTGTATGTGCACACTGCTCCTATTTTTGCCCCCTAGTCTATGCAATGAGTCTGTATTGTTAAACTAAAGCCTTGCTTTGCTAAGTTTCATTTAAAGTGGTATTTAAATGGTCTTAAAAAGTCTTGAATTGAATTTAATTTTTATAGTTTTTATACCTGTAGACACCCTGGTCTTGCTTTTCCAGTAACAACTGTCTGTATTGTAACCTCCAGATTCACAAAATCAAGTCCACTTTTGTTGATGGGATTCTCTCCTGCATGATGAGCAAGGTGAGTCTACAGCTGGTTTGTGATAGCTATAAAGCAGAACTGTCGATGAAATACCTCAAATGTTAACTTATCCATGGCACACACATTCACCAAAAACGATGTCTTACAAACAAGGTCTTTCACAGCTGTGTAAAAACCTTTTTGCTCACTCTGAAATATCGATTTTTCCAGACTTCTCTCCTTGAGGCTGGAGCAACCAAACAAAAAGTGAAACCATGAGTTGAGAGAATGCTGCAGGGTGGAGGGACTTGCACAGATCCCACAGCTTTTGTTTTTCTTTCCTCACAGTTTGGCTCTGCCTTACTGCACGACAACAGTGCTTGTATGCAACCAGGCAAAACCATGTTGTTCCTCTTCACCTTTCAGAGGGGCTGCTGGTGTGAATGTCACCATCATTATACTGCTGTGCTCAGTACTACAATTGAAAACCACAGGATAATGCTGTAGGCTATTCACAGCTGCAGCACAGCTACATAGTGCAACACTTTAACCTCAACAACAGAGAGCACTCTCAGGCCTGATGCTCTTGCTGTAGTAACCTAATAGGGAAACATCTCAGTGGTCTCTTTAAAGTGTTTGTCCTGTGTCCTGCTCACTGCTGCACTTAATAGGCAGAGCAGAGATGCAGCTCTGTGTCTGACTGTCCCTGCACATGGGCTCCGTTCGCCTCTGTATGGAAGTAGCAGCTTGTGTTTGTCAATCTGTGCTTACTCAACTCTGCAAATGAGTCTGTCTGGCTGTCTCCAGAGCTGTTTTGGCTTCTGATGGTGGTGATTCATTTGGTGGTCTTTTGGACAGAGCGGGCAGCGGTCCCAACTAAAGGAGGGTGCTGTTGACAGCAACAAATATGATTATTTTCCCCCCTCATAACCCAGATTTGAAACATGTGGTGGTATTTAGGGCATTGAGTATTGGTTTATTGTATCATATTAAATCCAAACTACAGGAAGGCAGTATGGTCTCTGAGTAGGGGTGTCTGGATTTTGATTCTTAGTTAAAAACTGACCAAAAATCAATGTTATTTACAACGTTTGATTTGGCCAGTGGGCTGTGCTTCATTTCAATTCACCTGTTTTCAACATGGCGGCCGGGTCACAAACTCATCTTACAGCTAAACAGCACACTAAAATATGTTTCTGAAAACATTTGACACCAGAAATAAGCAATGCAGTCACAGAATCTTGATTCGTATTTGGCCAGCTCTGCCTAGCTTGACAGTTTGACCACAGTTTACAAGCAGTGATTGACGTGATAGCTGCTCTCTAAAATTATCTGCGAGTGTCCAAGGTCCCTGTCAAGGGCTACCGCTTGAATTACAATATGCTCAAAGTTTATTATGGGATTTCTGCCCTGTGATGCCAAAATTAAACGGCCTACTTGAGCTTTAACAGCAGCCCAGAGCACAATAGTATGGTTTCATGTCCTGCTTACTGCACCAGCTCAACTGGCACTACAGTCTACAAACAGCTTGTTCAAATTGGGCACCAGGCAGTCGCATGGCATTGTTGATGCTCGTCGGTCCAAAAGCAGAATCAGAGCGATGATGGCAGTGAGGATCGCAGCTGTTGTTTTCAACAAGAGTTGGATCAGAATCGCCTGTATAGAAACAATACTGATCACATTGCTGACTCATTGAAACATCTGTGAAATGTAATGATAAAACTATGCCATTATTTTTGGCGTAGTTGTTCATTTTAGTCTCTAAATGTTGACGTCATAACATGTTGGATGTGTTCATTTCCCTTTGTATCTGATTTACTCTTTGTTTCTGTCTTTCTCAACAACATATCAGAACTACGTTTCCTCTACGTGGTACCAGACGAGTGTGGTGACAGGGAGAATCTCAGCCAAGCACCCAGTAAGACCTGCCTGCCATTTCCCCCTGCATTCATTTCTTTGATTTTATATCTTGGATCTTGAAACTGGTTATCAGGGTTGTTAAATGGCTGCGACAGGCTTCGAGCTGCACTGCTTGTGCTGTCAGCAGGACAGCGGCGCTCAGTTACAGGAGCTATCCATGGTGCTGAACATCATGCAGGCTTTGCAGAGAGTGGCTGCTGTGCTGCCGGCCACAGCTCACGATCTGCGCATGTGTGCAGTACTCAAATAACCACATTACAATCACAGTAATGGAGACAGAAGGACCCAAGTGTGTATCAGCTTAAGTTAGGCAAATCAATGGCATGTATTTAGAGGTAACATCTAATAGGAGAATACCACACACATATCTGGGGCTGCAGCACAGCTTATAAAACAGCAGGTCCTTTTTATAACCTTCAAAATTCTCAATATCAGTATTTCTTCACCTTTCCTCCACCCTGTTTTTTTGCCCAACTATGTGTTTGTCTCTGTTTTTTCCTCCGTATCTCTCTCATTAAGGATATTCATATTCTTTGATGATGCTGACGACATAGTAATAACAGCACATACACACACGCATAATACTAGTCTCTCCCCTACAAATATAGATGTTGCGATTTCGGAGTGTTATGTAAGAACAAGCTGGGGTTTCTTTGTGATATGCAGAGGGGGAGAAACAGGACAATGTGTGTGTGTTGATGTGTGTGCAGGGGGGCTTTGCATTGCTATAATTGTGAGCACCAATTTCACTTTGAAACCATCGCAGTGGGAACATTTTGGCCGGTCCCCACTACTTCAAAGGACTGTTTGATTAGGGTTAGAGAGGCAGATAGAGGAGGAGAGAGAGAGATTTTAAAAACCAGTTTGGTGTTAAAATAATGAGAGTTGGGGGATGTGTGTGTCTGTGTGTGTGGAATGGACTGATGTGTTTGTATGCGTAAAATCAATCTGCTGAATTTTACCCCTGAAGTAAAACGTAGGAGTATCCAGTCTACTCCAAGATGTGACACTGAGGTCGTAGATTTTATGAAGCTGATAATGACTCATCACATTTTACAAGAGTAAAGGACAGTGTAAAGCCTGCTGCTGTGTTAGGGTAACTCTCAGTTATATTTAATTACGGTTGGGCCTTAACTTGAATAGATTTTTCATTTGTTTAATGATACCAGTATTTGGTCTGTAGCTATGCATCAATATTTATTATCTTTCAATTGACTTAAAGCCCCCCTCCACTCGAAAATGTGTTTTTCTTTTGTTTATGTTCCCTAAAATGTCTGACCTTGACTATACTGACTTGTATCTGTGCAAGGTTTGTCACTAGAGAGGTGTTGCTAGCTAGATTAGGTACATCACTGATTCGAAAGCCAGTCGCTGCCAGGGATGGAACATACTTTAACATATCACCTGCAATGTAACCTGAAACCTCAATTGCAGAGCAGACAGAGTTAGCATTAGCATAGTGAAAGTTTTGAGAGTGTCCAGTTTATGGATGTAAACTGGAGTCTGAACCTTCCTTCCTCTATCTACCAAAAACCCCATCGTAGCAAAGACAAGTATATGTCTTACAAACACTAATGAGGTGTCAGCCACTGCATGCTAGCATACAAGCTAACAAACAGCATACATAAAAGATGCTAACTATGCTTATCATTCTGATACAATTCAATTTTCAATTTAGTTTTATTTAGAAAGCCCAACATCAAAAATCACAATTTACCTTAGAGAGCTTTACAGCATATTTCCCCTCTGGGGGATTAATAAAGTAAATAAACTTAAATTAAAATTATAATTTTCTGGCAGGGAAAACCATGTTCAACAAAATATTAATCATATTTGAGTGTTTTTACATAGTTTAAAACATGTCTGGAGGTGGATCTTTCGATAAAGACAGCTTTTAAAACGACATTTAGGCCATGAGAAAATGCACAGCAGTGGATTTTAAGCAACACTGCAGCTACTTGATGGTAAATCCATTGTGGGATTGATTTTTTCACATTTAAATTTAGAAGGTATTTTCATCAAGAATAACTAAATAAGGAAATTAGTTCATGAAATTATCACCAAAAGTAAAATGTTATTGAAGAAATCCATGCAGTAGCCTATGTGACGCAGTTACACTGAGCTTAAGAATACATGTATCTTAAACCAGACCTCTATCTCTCTCTCTCCCTCGCCTCAGTATGGGCCGTTCGATGGCTCATTTCGACATTACCTAGCTGTCAGGGTCCAGTGATTCTGTCACTGAGCTCTAACACACACACACACACACACACACACACACACACACACACACACACACACATATGTGTAACCGTAGAGACAGTGAACTTTTCTAATCTCACTTAGCGATTTGCGGCTGGCGTGAGCTACACATTGAATTGATCGTGCTGCTCCTGAATGATATATGTGACTGTTGGGCAGCTGCGATTTAACACGGCTCTGTTCCCTCGGCTCTAATGCAGCTCTGGGATTTGGTTGAGCTTCACATTAAGTGTGTGGATGGATGCTGGTAGCTGGTTGTTTATGTGTAGCTATTCTGGTGTGTCAGTTTGGTCTTTGATGCATAGGTTCTGCTCTGAATGTGGTTTGTTTCCGATGAAAGTTGTCTTGGAGGCCAAATGGTTAAGATCCCATATACAGGGGCCCTTTCTGCTAGCATTGTCTTTTTGTTATTTTGCTAACACTTAAAGTCAAGACTTAGCATAGACGTACTTCCTACCATCAGTAGAGAATGATTAAATAAAAACAATGAGTGAAGTGATCCACAGAGGACGATGTGTGACATATATTTATTAAAATTTTCAACAGAGCATGGAGACAAACACTGCCGCTTGATTGATTGAAGTGAGAAGATCGTTTTCCCATTAAAGAGCCAGGAGGGAGAAGAGTCAACTCCCTCTAGCCTTTTTGTTATTATCATTATTATTATCCTAGCATGTAAATGAAGTTCACTCATAATTATTCTCATCATAATGTGGAGCTGAATGCACCGGTAGTTAAGAGTAACTTGGTGATCGCTAACATGTCACATCCCGCCGCTTTGAAGCGGGAAAGCTGCAGTTTGTAGTTTTGGGTTGAGGGAAAAAAAGGCAGCTGTTCTGCCATTCACCACTCTACATACACACACACACATATTCAAATGAGGAGTGCTGCAGAGGGGTTTAGCTTTCATCTGTTGTGGGTTCAACTGAGGTGAAGCCAGACTGCAGTAACAAAGGGGTGCCTGGATTAAAGCAGGACAACCATAAACTGGTGCTGAGTTTAAAGTACTGCAAGAAGTGAGTGTTGCTGCAGAGGAGAGTGGAGGCTTTCTGCTCTGCCTCATCTGTTTTTACCTGCTAGAGGCAAAAATGTGTGCAGACTGTGAGCTCCAGCTTCCTCCTCTCCATATGCAGGGTTTCTGTCTGGTTTCCTTTTCATTCTCATTCTCTTGGTCTCAGTCTATTTCCTCCCCCCTTCTTTACATGACACTTTACACATTCCTCCACATTAACGCCCTTAATAGTGTGGCAGTGAAACTAAAGAGGACAAATAAGATTAAACTTTCCCTTTCCTCTCTCTCCCTCCCTGCCTTCTCCCTGTCTGTTTGTGAGCTGAGGCAACATTCAGATTGCTGGGTCCTTGGTGCAGCACTCCTCCCTGTATCATCTGCTCTCTCTATTTCTCCCCGCACTGTTCAGCTTTATGGTGTCCAAAGATTTATACACTTGTGCCACCCTGTTGTTGTTAACTCCCTCATGAAAATGAACAGAAAACAGATGCTTTTTCATTGTCATTTTTGGGGTTTATGTCAAACTTTTTTTGTAGTGTGAAAGACTGAAGTGCAGTGGGTTTGACTGTCTAAATTTTCTTAATCTTTTTGTCTCCATTTCTCTCCACATAAAAGAATCCTTTATTAGTCCCACAGTAGGGAAATCTGCATTGTTACAGCAGCAGAGGTGATAATGCAAACAACAAGCACCACTAAAAAGACACAAGGCAATATCAATAAATGAGCATCGGTAGAAACACAAACAAAATTGTAAAAGCTAAACACACAGGCTGAATGGCTAATAAGTTTAGTCTATACTGATATTGCATGAGTGATGATTGATGCGATACTACTCGGAGCAGTGTTGGTTGTAAAGTCTGATAGCAGCAATGAGGAGGGACCTGTGGTGTCTCTCCCTCACACACTGTGGTTGAAGCAGCCTGTCACTGAAGGACCTGCCCAGTGCTTTCACAGTTTCCTACATCGGTGGGATGTGTTTTCCATTAGAGGTGATAGCTTAGCCATCGCTCTCCCTTTCTACACTGGGTCTGAGGAGCATCTCAGGACAGAGCTGGCCTTCTTAACCATACTGCACTATTTTTTTTTATGTCCTCTTGATTGCATACTACATACTCAATCTGTATGTACTGCATACTAAAAAAATGTGTCAGTATACCATTACTAGCAGACTGTTTATACTGTTGATACTCAAGCAATACATCTTCTATCATCACATGACTGAATCAATCAAGTTACTGGTGTGAGCTATCGTTAAATTAACATTTCTCACAAAAGTTCATTTAAATTTACCTCTTTCACTCACTTTAATATTTTCCAGTATTACACCTTGTTTCCACATAGCTTTGGCCCCATTTCCAAAAAACTCTTTCAGTATGGTACCTTTGGAACCAAAAGTAACCCTTCAGACATGGTACCTAGACCCTAGTGTGTCCACTGCAAACAGTTCTCTTAAATATGGGCGGGGTTGTTGTTACTCACTGCTCCATCCAGCACTCACTGTATTTCCTCATTACGGGTGACACAGGTGGAAGTCTGCCCCTCATTTATCGTCCACAGAACGATGCCGACATTTTTGGAACAAAACAAAACAGGCTGCAGTGAGAGTTTCTCTCCATGGGATGTTTAAAAATAGCAGATTTGTGCATTTAGTCCTTCTAAGGCAAGCTCAGGGGTTTAGTGTTGCTGTAGCCCGACGCTACGCGACCCTTTTTTCTTCTCCAAGTGAT